TAGTCAGCCCCTGGTCAGTTTCAGTGGCAGCAGCTGAATCTGGAGGCAGTTCTGACTTACATACCAATTTAACTTAAGAACAAACCTATAGCCCCTATCTTGTACGTAACCCGGGGACTGCCTGTACTCCAGATGTGGCCTCACCAGAGCCAAATGAAGGGGAATAATCACTTCTCTGGATCTGCTGGCCATGCTCCTCCTAGTGCACCCCAATATGGTTTCAGTGGCAGCAGCTGAATCTGGAGGCAGTTCTGACTTACATACCAATTTAACTTAAGAACAAACCTATAGCCCCTATCTTGTACGTAACCCGGGGACTGCCTGTACTCCAGATGTGGCCTCACCAGAGCCAAATGAAGGGGAATAATCACTTCTCTGGATCTGCTGGCCATGCTCCTCCTAGTGCACCCCAATATGCCATTAGCCTTCTTGGGTACAAGGGCGCCCTGTTGAATCATCTCCAGCTTCTCATCCACTGTAACCCCCGGGTCCTTTTCTGCCAAGCTACTACTTAGCCAGTCGATCTCCAGCCTGTAACAATGCTTCATCCAATTACAGTCAGCCAGTGCCATGTCAAGGTAAAGATGAGTCCTGGCTTCTCATCCATCCTGACAGCTGTCAGTAATTTCCTTCCTACATTCATTTCCCTGGGAGTGTTTGAGTGGGATGTGGAGCTGGAATCCAATGTCTCAATCTCTCCAATAGTTACTGTGCTGTGTTCTCCTTCTTTGCCTTCTGCCCTTTCCTCCCGCATTGGTAGTGACTCCTGTCTAGAGTCTCTCTCTTTCTCCCAGCAGGTGATAGGACAGTGAATGACAACAAGGATCCTGGGGAAATGGAACCTCTGGAGGCGTTTTTGGGCAGAGCTGAAGGGAATGTTCCCCAGGACTTGGAACAGGGAATTGCCTGGGGAGATGGACACAGATCAGAGGTTCAGCTGGGAACCTATCCCAGAAAGAAAATGGGTGAATCCATTCCATGTGGTGGAGCATCCCAAGGAAATGATCCCAAGGAAATGACCGTCCAGCAGACAAGTCACAATGACAAAAAATCCTACAAATGCCTTGACTGTGGGAAAAGCTTTCGTCATAGCTCAAGGTTTATTATACATCAAAGAATCCACACAGGAGAAAGGCCCTATAAATGCCCCGAGTGTGGGAAAAGTTTCAATCACAGTTCAAACTTTTTTCAACACAGGAGAACACACACAGAAGAAAGACCCTATAAATGCCGTGAGTGTGGGAAAGGTTTCAGATTGAAGTCCACTCATATTAAACATCAGAAAATCCACATAGAAGAGAAACCCAATAAATGCCTGGAGTGTGGGAAAAGTTTCATCCAGAAGTCACATCTTATTATACATCAGAGAGTGCACACCGGAGAGAGACCCTTTAAATGCCATGTGTGTGGGAAAAGTTATATTGACAACTCCAAGCTTACAAGACATCAGCAAACCCATGCAGTTGAGAGACCTTTTAAGTGCCTTGAGTGTGGGAAAGCTTACAATTGGAAATCAAGCCTGACTGTACATCAAAAAATCCACACAGGAGAGAAACTCAATACATGCTTGGACTGTGGGAAATCTTTCAGCCAGAGTGCATACCTTACTTATCACAGGAGAACGCATTCAGAAGAAAGACCCTATAAATGCTTTGAGTGCGGGAAAGGTTTCAATTGGAAATCTACCCTTAATTCACATCAGAAAACCCACACCAAAGAGAAACCCCATACATGCTTGGAATGTGGGGAATCTTTCAGTCGGAGCTCACACTTTCTTGATCACATGAGACTGCACCCAGGAGAAAGACCCTACAAATGCCCTGAGTGTGGGAAAGGTTTCAATTGGAAATCAGCCCTTAAATCGCATCAGACAACCCACACTGGAGAGAAACCCTATACATGCTTGGACTGCGGGAAAGCTTTCAGTCGGAGCTCACACCTGACTTATCACAGGAGAACACACTCAGGAGAAAGACCTTATAAATGCCTTGAGTGTGGGAAAAGTTTCAGTGTGAAATCAACCCTTCATGCACACCAGAAAACCCACACTGGAGAGAAACCCCATAAATGCTTGAACTGTGGGAAAACATTCAGTCAGCGCTCGTACCTTAATAGACATGAGAAAATCCACCTGAGAGAGAGGTCTTATGAATGCCTTGACTCTAGTCACCTGTCCTCACCCCTGTCTTCCTCCAGGCCCCAGACTGTGCTCCCCGCTCACCTCGGGCTGTTCCCTGCAGGAGAAGTGTCCCTGGGGGCTGGTAACGCCTCCCCTCCCTGGATCCCCCAGGGTTCTGGGCTCTGGGGATCAAACAGGAAGGGATCAGGCCAGTGGGTTCTGGAGAGAAAAGTGGGGATTGAATGGTGGGGGCTAAGGGAGCTGGGCAGCAGGGGGAGCTGGGTGCTGGGGCCAGGCGTGCCCCGTGGGGAGGACACGAGGGGGCACGTGCCCCCTGAATGCCATGGGCAGGAGGAGCAGGGTGCAGAACTTCCAGGTGGATCAGAACACTAGCAGGAGGCCTGACATCCAGAGCAGAGTTCGAGCTCCCCAAGCATACCGGCATTGGTGGGCTAAGGGAGCTGGGCAGCAGGGGGAGCTGGGTGCTGGGGCCAGGCGTGCCCCGTGGGGAGGACACGAGGGGGCACGTGCCCCCTGAATGCCATGGGCAGGAGGAGCAGGGTGCAGAACTTCCAGGTGGATCAGAACACTAGCAGGAGGCCTGACATCCAGAGCAGAGTTCGAGCTCCCCAAGCATACCGGCATTGGTGGGGGGAGCAGAGGGACGAGGGCCCACCTGCCATGTTCC